AAGGTGTTTCTAATTTTCCACGATGGGCGTTAAGATATTAATGGTATTTTAAGTGATATTTTGACCAATATTTTTCAAAAGATTAACAGATAGGGAGGTCTCTGTACAAATTCCTGTATTTTCTACCCTATAATATAGCATAATGTTTTGAAGATCATTTGTCGGTTGTCAGTTGATTCGGAGAGAAACACAGCCCCATTAACCAATCAATCAGGGAAATCAAGCATTCCTCTGAAGAGAGTGAAAGGAAGTTACTGAAACCTCTGTAGTTAAACTATTGATTGATGTGAACTGTGTTTTTCTCCTAAAATAACATGTTTATATAAGCCATTATGTGGTTAGTTATGTTAGTTTACGTTAGATTAATCTAGGTTAATATTCACTTTGGGAGGTCTCTTGACCGGGTTCCATGTTTTACTAACCCTAGCAAGAAGAAATTTAAACTATACTAACTCACACTAACCTGATGTAATTTAACCTAAACACACTAGACTGACGATATCTGACCTAACTACGTTGTGGCTTGTAAGCTCGTTGCATGGATTAGGATACAGTAAATACGGAACTTAGTAAAGAGAACTACAAAGAAAATTAACCTAGTTTACCTCAAGGCCAATTAACATAAACTTATCTAACCACGTATAATGACATGGTGGTTGTGTCTTGTCCATGGAGCAACTGCTCCATGGAATGGGGGGGTGCCATTGTCCAGTTAGTCAGCCATATTTCAGAGTTTCCTGTAAGCTGGAAGGCTTACAGCCTCACGGTTACCGTAGCGGCTCACGACACCGTACTTCGCTCTACAGGGCAGTCCCTTACTTATGCTGCTTCTCCCGTCCGCCACGTAGAGGATAATGACATGTGAACACTTAATGCTAGATTAGAGGTGGCAAATATACAGAAATCTTTACGGAGACCTACTTTTTTGTTAGTCTTTTGGAAAATATTATGGAGGTATAAGATGAGGTTGATCAGAGAACTCACACTCATGGACAAAACCTAAGGAAGTTGTTTGTATCTTTCAGCATGTATATCGGGATTCAGACAATACCACTGAAGGATATTCGATACACAGTGATCTTTATTGAAGACACACAAGATAACCAAGTGTGAACAGCCTCGGTCTCCTTATTAAAAAAAAAAGAATATAATCAACATATTTTCCATTTCCTTATATTTTGTCCATGAATTTAGGCGAGTTAAATAAAGAGATTTTAAAAGAATTTAGCGGCCATCTGGCAGCGAGCTGAGAATCTGTGTTCACCCTGAATACAGATAAAGGAGTAAATTGAGAACCTCTTCTACTTCAAGCAGGAAAAAAAAAACCGGCAAAGAAAGTGTGGGACTGCGCAACACAATGCCACCAAACTTCTAATTAAACCAATAATAATCTTTCACCTGCTCGCCTGGAAACTTCAAACCAACTAATTAGCATTTGTTCAGAGAGGATTCTCGTTTTTCTATAATAAACAATGGATTTCAATTATTTTCTTTGGGTTGTGTTTAACAAGTAATGCATACGATTAATAAAAGATGTGTTTGAAATAATTTAAAATTAATTTTGAAGTAGAAATGTGATGTGTGTATTGTGTGTGTAATTAAAGGTTTAAAAATAGTATAATATATATTAATTTTTGTATGTGATACTCAGATATGTATATAACAGTTTCAAGAGAATGATATTCATGTACTTAAAAGGGCACCACTCGCTTTTTGATACATCTCCTTGCAATCTTATTTTGTATTCTGGCTTAAAAATCATCTCTGCTAATATACTCAACCAGCTCAGACTTCTATTAAGAAATTTCGATCGATTTCATGACCCTTATCGTTGTATGTTATGAAATCGAAGCCGCTCCTGTATTCATGAGTGATATAACCGGAAAAATGATATATATACAAGTTAGTCTTTATCTGTATTTGTACAAACTGGTGTTTTGTTACATTCTTCATAGTCACCAATACGTTCTGTACTGGGTGATAAATACCTAGCTCGTTTTAATTTATTTAAAAGTGAGAGGTGCTTCTTTTAATATCTTCATCTCTGCTATTTACTTAACCATCTTAAACTTCTATTAAAAAAATCCGACCGATTTCATTATCCTTCTCTTAGGATGTTCGAAGCTGATCGAAGCCCCTCTCTAATCGTGAGTGATATAACCGGGAACGATGATATACCAGTTAGCCTTTATCTGTATTTGTCCAAACTGGTGTTTTAGTACATCTTTATAGACACCAATACTTTCTGTACTGGGTGAAAACAAACTATCTCGTTTTAATTTATCTTAAAGGGATAGGTGCTTCTATTTAATAATATGTGTATATGCATATACAAAAATTGAACTTGTATTATGACTCAATATTCATCACAACATATAAGTTTTCTAATTGACTAATAAACTAAAATCATTGTTTTAAATGCATATTTTAAAGGGATAGGTGCCTCTTTTGGAACATGTTCAAGAAATTTTATATGTTTATTATCACAAAATATTGATTAAATTCTTATGGATGAACACTTTTCAAAATATTTTGCAAATATGAAGCTTTTTCTTCCTGTCTTGGTTATATGGAACGAGGCATGTTTTGGTCAGATATATATTTCTATATTGTTGCTTTGTTAGTAAACTGATCGTGATTTTTAAATATTTCAAAATTAGCTAAATATTCTTTCTCGATAAAGCAATAAAAGCTAACCATGTACGCTTTTTGGACTGTTGTTATTGAGGTACAGCTTGCATCACGCTGATAAGGGTCAACAGCCTGAAATGTTTAAGTATGGTTAGCTTCTTAATTGATCAAGAAAGGGTATTTGGCCAATTCTGGAATAAATGAAAATCAACCATTAGATGATATTTATTCGAAAAGATAACCCAAGCCATCATAAACTCTCAGTTTCACGATCAGAAGATGTCATTTTTCCTAATAAATTTCCATGTTTTGACAAAGTTCGTGGTGGAAGTAAAACCTAATTCTGAAATAAGCTATTCTATATTTCTCTCGATTGAAAAAATAAAAGTAACAAAGTGAAATGGAATTAGAGTTAAGATAGATGGGAGATTAGGTTAAACCAATTGGGTGGAAGCTTTACTTCCTTCGATTTGTTATTTGCGCGTGGATTAACGATAGTTACAAATATAACGTTGGGTCGGTGGAAGGATGGTTTAAACCGTTGGTTTTCGTGATGCAAACTGTACCTCAAGGACAGACCGAAAGACGTACATGGTTAGCTCTTAATTATTAATAAATAAAGGGAATTTGGCCAATTTTGGAATAATTAAATATCACGATTTGTTAACGGACAAAGCGACAATATAGAAGAATATATGTCACCAACACCTGCCTTGTTCAAAATAGCCACGACAGGAAGAAAAAGCTTCGTGTTCACAAAATATTTTGAAAGGTGTTCATCCATAAGAAATACATCGACCCGGAATCGATTTCCGCATTGGGCACTTTTTTCTAATTAAAAAAATGCTTCAATAGCCCCCGATTCTTGCAAATCCAACCCCACCAGCAAGTGCAATTAATCAAACGGGACTCTGGCACATTTTTAAGTGCAAAGTCAAACTGCTTTTCATTTGTGTAGACATGCGATGCACTTACAGTAAAAGCAGTCTCTAACCTCTACCCACCATGAATATCATGGCTACGTGTACTAGGTATAAATAAAACGTAACACTATCGAAACTTCTACATTTCAGATGTTGGTTTTAGCACCTTCTAAATTCTGAATATTTTACTTTCGAAAATCAACTGGTTCTTCGCTTTGTAAATAACATTTAAAATATAAATTATGCGCACAATTCCGTTTGGATATATACACTCATGGACAAAACTTAAGGAGGTGGATTACATTTTATGTCGCTGGTCGTCGGTTTTTTTTTTTGTTTTGTTTTATTTTATGGGGACAAAGATAATTTCATTTACACCTGGTTATCTCGTGTGTCTTCAATATGGGTCACTGTGTATCAATTATTTTTCAGAGTTATTATATGAATCCTGATATACATGCTGAGAGGTACAACTTCCTTAAGTTTTGCCCATGAGTGTAGTAACAGATTGAATTCTGCATGCAATTTAACAATAGAAACTTTTAAAAATGGTGTTAACCAGATTGATTATCACTTTTCATTGAACTTCGTTGGTCTAACAATGAAGACCAAATCTTTAAATATATCATAGAAACCACTTAAACATATTACACACCCAATGCTATAGAAAACAAAATCTAATAAATAATAATTATAATTATTCTATATACAGTTACGAGCGTCATGCGTGGCCTCTGTCACGGTTTGCTTTTTTTTTTTTGGAATGGCGCCCTCCTATTGGTCGGCTACGATCACGCCACCTTTGCCCCCCCCCCCCCCCCCCATTTCTGTAACTATTGTGTTGGAGCGGGTCGCTCCTTAAATAAATGCATATATTAGTTAATAACCAAATTGAATCCTCTCTTTCTTTTTCCCAGTAAGAGACGCCTACGGAAGCCAACAGTACATAGACAGATAAAGCACATAGGCTATAGTTATTAACTAAAATATGCATTTATTTAAGGCGCCAATTTATAATTGTAACAAATAGTATTTGAATCAAAACATTCAATCGGGTAAAACACGGGCGTTGCCCGGGTCATTCGGCTATTATTGTATAATAAGGAGTAATATTTATATCACTACAATACTACACACGGTGTGGGTACTATATCCATACATACCTATAGTCGTGGATGGCTTTTCTTGATTCATCAAGAAATTGGATTATTCAAATATCACGGAGCAATTTAAATAAACGTTTAGTTTATTTTTGCTCCACCCGATGGCGCTCTGCCATAAAAAAATCACACGTGCTTTTGGTCAGGATATACATTCATTATTTTTAATACCTATATCTATTTATACAGTTATCAGAGTCATCAAGCATCAATTCTTAATAATCAATTTTGTCACCGTTTGCTTTTGTGAATGGAATAAATACCCAAAAATGGCCATTTCTCATAACCATCGGTGGTTCAGTGGTAGAAAATGCTCGCGGGCGGCCCGGGTTCGATTCCCAGCTGATGCATTTTTTTTTTACAATTTTTAAAACTCATTTATATATTATACAAGAATGACATCCACGGCGCCAATTTATAATTGTAACGAATAGTATTTGGATAAAAGCATTTAATCGGGTAAAACCCGGGCGTTGCCTGGGTCATTCGGCTAGTATCTATTTAAGCGGAAGTAATAGACAAATACTGATAATATAAAACTTGATACCCAACAAGATAAAAAGAAGATTAATGGAATATTTACCGCCATCCTATCTCCAAACACAATCCGACAATAAACGTATCATTTTAAGAAAAATACATCTTCATAATCGTGCAACTTAAAGTTACTGATGGCTTGCGCCTCTCAGAGAAATATTTCAGAATAAATATAAATTATTCTTTGATTATTGATACTGGGTGAACAGACCTAGGCCTCCACGGGTAAGTACAGGATGAACAGACCTAGATGCCGTACGGGAATAAGAGAGGTACTCAGGCTACGAATTAGGTCAAGTGTGGTTGACCTCGTTTATTTTTTCTTGATAACACTGAGACTGAATTTCTCTAATGTAGGTTTTTATGTCAAAATACTTTTTAAAAATATAATTGCTCTAGAAATTAGCTATTCTAGTGTAGCATAGATATCTATCTACAAAGAGAAAAATAATCATTTAAAAATGCATCAAGATTTTGTGCATTTTGTTTATTACTTTTGTGTAAAAATGTTGTTATTGCGATAAATAATGAGCGATAACACCTGTATTGACAATTTTAGAAGATTTCTAACATTGAATTGCAGCATGTCCGTTCTTTTTTATCTATAGTCACTGCCAAATATTCTTCCTAATTTCTCCATACAGGTGGTGATTCCCATGTCTGTGAAAACCTGACTCTTTGACTGCAGCTCCAGACATGTATTCCGACCTGTATACCATTTTTACGACCTATACTATTGTAGTACCCTTGCCCCATGCGCTGATGACATTTCGAGTTGTTTCCGCAGCGTTGTGGCCGAGTTTGAACTCATGAAGCAAAACTATGCGGATTTCCTGTTTTGAAATCATTTTTAATACAGCCTGAAATCACACAAAATATATTGTTGCAAATATATTGGTAGATATGATGGCAGAACAAGAAATAAGCTTTATAATGATATATTACTTGCAAATATTTGAATATATTTATTTGCAATTATCAACGAATGAATTTGGATTTATATAATCGGCCATTAATTTTGCCTCAGCCTAATGCTTATCAGTACAAGGGCGGTACCAAGTCTGAAACATTCTACGAGTGGAGTTATAAAATCAGTCGTATTTAGATTTCTACTAGCCGAATGTACTTTTACCCGATTAAATGCTTTTATTCAAATACTATTCGTTACAATTATAAATTGGCGCGGTGGATGTCATTCTTGTATAATATATGAGTTTTAAAAATTGTAAAAAAAAAAAAAAAATGCATCGGCCGGGATTCGAACCCGGGGCGCCCGCGTGGCAGGCGAGCATTCTACCACTGAACCACCGATGGTTATGAGAAATAGCCATATTTGGGTATTTATTCCATTCACAACTAAATGGTGACAGAATTGATTAAGAAATAATTGATTATGACGCTGATAACTGTATATATTAATTAAGAGAAGGTTGATAATGATATATAAATAACATTTACATAAGTAAATTCTTGGTATAGCACACTGGTGTGATAGTATCCTCACCTTCATTTTTCAGATTTGCCTTTTCAAATCAAACGAATTCTTTTTCCTTTAATGTTTTCTTTTATTATGATTAATATGATCAAAACAAGGATAAACATTAATATTTATTAGAAAGTTGATCTTCAGTTTCCATGTTACCAATGGGAAGATTTGTGTTTTTGCTGACGTACCAATTCTTCCAAAAATCGTTTTGCTATTGCAACTAAAGGCACCACAAAATTTCAAATATAGAAACTCCACCTTAAAGATCTTTCGACTTAAAATCTTTCGACTAACCTAATGTAATAAATGTTGTAATCATGTATGGATATTATGTTTTAAAGGGATAACGATATGAATAATTGATATACCTATAATTTTGAAAATAGAGCAATCCATAAATAAATCTTTAATTAAAAAGGCATATATTGGATCAAAATATTATTTATTTCACCAATATTTCAATTGGCTGAACGCCAACCTTTATCAAGGTGTTATAACACCTTGTGGTAAAATAAATAATATTTTTATCCAATATATGCCTTTTTAATTGAATACCTATAATTGTTTAATACAAATGAAGTTTTATGCAAATGTCGAGCAATCTATACATAAAGTAGCATCCAAATAAACAAAAATAGAAGTAGGGAGAGATAGTACTAAAGAATATATTAAAAGTTTTTTTTAATACTATTATAGTTAGATTCATGTAAACACAGGCGTTGCCTAGAAGGACATTCATTAGATGATATACTGATTTACTGTATTTTATTAATTTATCATTACTGAAAACTTATAAGTAGAATTAAATTGCATATGGATAAAGGTTATTTTTGTTTTCGCACATCATAGATTCAGAAATGTTCTGTAAGGAAACACCGTGATAGCTACAACCCTAGAATATGCAATTTAGACAAAGAGCTTACTGAATTGCATAATTTAGGGCCAGAATAATAATACTATTAATCCTTATATTATTATTTTCGAAAAGTGAATAATTGTAAGGAAAAGTGTTAAAATTATATTAATTTGGTGTAATATTCACTCAGGAAGCACCCGAGCGAAGCCGAGTGATTTGACACGATCATATATACATATTTAAATATAAAAAATATTAATATACTGAAATTTTCGAAAATATTATAGACGTGTGTATGGTTTTTTAAAAATTGAACAATTTTATAACAGATGGCGCGCTAATGCATCATAATATAATGGAATATGTTTACTTCAGATGGTAATGTCTATCTGACATTGAATTTTAGCATGTTTCCGTTCTTTTTTATCTATTGTCACTGCCAAAGATTCTTCCAAATTTCTCCATACAGGTGGTGATTCCCATGTCTGTGAAAACCTGACTTTCTGACTTCAGCCCCTGACATGTATATATCTACATAAAGATTCCTCTCACGCAATCGTTTATGAATAAAAAAAAACTCCCTCCTTAATTCGAATGTTCATTGTTCCCTCTTTAAATACTCCCTGCTGGTGTTTTTTAATGACCCATAAATGGCGGAAGTAGCCCATTTTGTTTGAATTTCACAATCTCGGCCTATATAAAGGCTGACCGTCAAGCGTACTTTCGATTAGGAATAATCCTCTAAAATTTAAATTACAATAAAACGCAGTTTATAAATTATTTAAATATCTTAGAAGTGCTGAGAAAACTATTTATTATTTGTTTATGGTGTAATATAATTCGAATTGAGATTTTCTTTTTACATACGGGTTTAACAAATTATTGTCTATCCAGGGTTGTTTTGGCTATATACAAATCTATTATAGATTTCTAGGATTTCAATATGTCTATTCATACTATACGTAAATAAATTTATAAGATATAAATATAGTATTGTAAAGATAGAGGCTGCTGGGCCGGCATTCATAGTTCTTCAAATTAAAGATACTTCGGCCAGTAAATATTTTTATAGTCTCGACGTTTCGACAAAAATCTTTTGACCTCGTTAAGAGCGGACAGATTTCTGTCGATACGTCGAGATAATAAAAAGATTCACTGGCCGAAGTATCTGTAATTTGAAGAACTATAAATATAGTAAAAATTGCACGATAAGGAGAAGCCCTTTTTTCATAATTATGCACTTTATCCCAGTCAATATCACATTTGTACTATTTTTTCACATTATGTCGCGGTCTCACGCAATTCTGGCCTTAACTACCCGTTTCATGATTTTTCAGGATGCCTGAATGATCATTTTTTTTTGTCGTTGAGGTACAGCTTGCACCACGCTGATGAGGGCCAACAGCCCGAAACGCGTCCGTGGTTAGCTTTTCTTGATTAATCAAGAATGAGTATTTGGCCAATTCTGGAATAATTAAAAATCAACGAGAATAGTTTCTATTTATTCCGATAGATGGCGCAAGCCATCAGCAACCTTCAGTTGCTCGATAAGGAGATGCCCCCTTTTTTCATAAATATAAATATAGTAGTTAAAAATTGAGATTCATTTGGTTGTATGCTAATGTAGAAGGGTTGACAGTACTTGAAAGCTTGAGAGAACATTTAATAAAGTAAGAAACATCCTCGGAGGCTGCGTTTCATTCTAAGGAACTTTCGATTATCAATTATCAACAACTAATATAGTGAAACACAAAACCAAGATGTGAATGTGGTTTGGGGACATTAATAGTAGAACAATTATATGTTGTAATATATTCCAATATATCTATGTCTCCATATGTTATAATGTAATTGCCAAAGTGACAAATAAAATTTCGAGTGAGTGACAGTCGATACCAGTAGGAGGAAAGAGGTCCGAAAAACAAGTCGGGTTCCTAGGTGTGCCCTTTCTTACCCAAACAAATTAGTCGGCTTTGAGACACAATGCTTACAGACGATTGACAGATCTGTCCTGACCGGCGTCGGCTACACTGGCTCTCTCGCCATCTCTATGGTGCCATCCAACATGTCTCGTCCTTTTGTGTAATCCCAATCACGCCTGAAACCACTCTAATCATTGTGGCCACCACGACTGCAACCAACATGCCACACTGCATTCATCCAACAAGATACAACAATTACATTACTACATATATCATTTTTAACGCCTTGCCATATGTTTTCATTATTGTTTGCTCCTGACAAGGACAAACGTTTTTGTCGAAACGTCGAGGTAATAAAAAGATTTACTGACCGAAATATCTTTAGTTTCAAGAAATATGAATTCCAGCCAGTCTATCTTTACGATATAATATTCTAGTATCCCCGAATATTACAATCAAAGAACTTCACTTTATTTTGTTATCAAATTAAAAAGAATGTAAACTGGTCATTTAAGCTAGAGAATTTATTGATAGATAACAGGTTATTCA